AAAGTTCAGCAGTAAACATCAGGTTACAAGTTTTACTTGTTTCTACCTTCACTTCTCAGTACGTACCTAGGGTTGTTGAGATTGCTGGGCCACATGGCATGGTAGTTCTATGTTCATCTTTCTGAGGAATCTGCAAATTGTTCTCTCCAGTGATTGTACCATTTTACATTCCCGTAAGCGATGAGTGAGGGTTCAGAGATCCAATATCTGTTTTCCATGTTGTTACTGCCAAGTGAGGTCCCTGGTGACACAAGAGTTATATACTGCAATGCAGTGAATTGCTTGATATGACCCTTCTAGCACAGTCTTTATAAATCCTAACAAATGTCTGGGTACCAAAAACTAAAATCCACTACTCTCGGGTCAATTCCAACTCCTAGCAGCCCTGTAGGACACAGCTGAACTGCTCTGTGGGTTTCCGACACTAAATCTTTCTGGATATGGAGTGGATGGTCAGTTTGAACTGCCGATGTTTTGCTTATACCAGTCCAGTGCTTAACCCATGGAGCCCCCAGGACTCCTTAATGACTGGGGTTCCCTTACTTTCTGCCCTGAAGTCTACTCAGATTCAGTATAGGATTTCTGAGACTATATTTTTATGGGATCAGAAAGCCTCTTCTTTCTCCTGCAGAGTAGCTGGTGATTTTCAAAGGACTGGGTAGGATTATGTAAATGAAGTATCTGTGGTGCTCCAAGGGGATTGAAAAATTTACTAATGATGCAAATAAAGTACATGGCACCCATTTGTGGTGGTGTTGTTGCTAAGTGCCATCGAGTCAGTTCCAACCCATAGCGACCCTGTATAGGGTGTCCAAGGAGTAGCTGGTGAGCTTGAATCACTGACCTTGCAGACCATGTAAATAGTATATGGAACTCTAACGTGGCTTTTTGTCAAACAGGTTTGTCATACAGCTAAGCTAAAAGTGAACCATCTCAGAAGTGGGAAAAAAGGATCTCACTACCATCAAGAAACAAGAAGTGGGAGTGGAGTGTACTTTGGAATCGGAAGTCCATGTGCTGAACCTCCTCAGTCTAGGAGGTGAAGAACTATGACACCGGACATGGCAGAGAAGAGGCAATAGAATCAAGACAGCAGAACCAGGGCATGGGCTTCCTGACTCATAAGGAGCAAAGTGAGAAAGCCAAGTACCTTTGGGGAGGTTGCCTATAGGTACTTAATGGTGCGGGGAGGGGAGTGACTAAGTATGTTGACCCACGGACCTAGACCTGGGAACTGAAGGTCTTTGGGTCTAGGAATACTGGTAGACTGAGTCCTTAATTAGTGGTATTGTGGGTTAATGCGCTGGACTGCAAGGTCGGTGGTTCAAACTCACCAGCCATTCCTCAGAAGCCCTATACAGGGTCACTGCATCAGAACCAACTCGAGGGCATTTACAACAAACACTTGCTAAAGCAGGGCAGAGACCAAGGGCTAGAAGAGCTTTGTGACGCTTGTCCAAGGTCATGAACAAAGCCAAGGATCTGGGTTTGACTGTGAGCATGTCTGAGAAGTAATTATCTTAACCCAAGAATTGTTATGCTCAGTATTCCTGATATTGAACTGTAGTTACTTCCCTAATAAGCCTCATTAATTGTATTGTGAATTATGTGTGACCACTGCAATGAATTATTAAACTCAACAGAGAAGTGGGAGGGCTGTTGGGTGTCAGAAATGGTGGAAAGGTTCACACACAGTAGACAGGAAAGGGCAACTTGGACATTGGCTACCCAAAATGGGTGGGGGGGGCTGGGGGGCTACAAAGGCAAGAAGTGACTGGCTTACAAGCTTTCAAGAGGGAACCTAGATCCAGGGTGCTTGGAGGAAGGCAGAATCTCCACTGAGTAGTATCCAATCTGTCTAGGCGGGGCTGATGGGTCTCTTGTGATACAATAGTGAATAATTGTTATCAGGACTGATTGTGAGGGTTGGAAATGTAAAGGTAGACGTTTTATAGCAAGGAAGGGAGTGATTAACTTTCCAGTCGAGGAGCGGAGGTCCTTAGGACCATCAATGGAGAAGAGCAGAGAGCGGGACCCTACCCAGAAAAGCAGTGATGCCTGAGATGGAGGCAGAGACGATGGCGTGGAGCGATGGCGTGGAGCGATGGAGCAGCTGGGGACTTTAGACCCAGAGAGGGAGAGTGACTGTGTGCTGAAGACTGGGGGTGGAGGGGGAGTGAAGGGTGCAGGCTTGCAGGGTATACCCTTTGGTTGGTTGATGATGCATGGAGGGGATTGTAACCATGGCAATGAAACGATATACGATAGAATGAATGTAAAACTAATATTCTTCCATGTAAACTATCATATAATTCACAATAAAACATTAAAAAAAAAAAGAAATGGTGAAAAGGTTGGAGGTGGAGGCATGTCTGATCTCTGCCTCCTAGGAATCGGCCTTGTGCTGATTCCGTGACCCTCCTCCCCATATTTGAAGGAAAGGTCAGATGTGGTTATTTTTACAAAAGGCCAGTAGTTGGAACACACTAGGGCCAACACGAGAGAAAACCTGGTGACATGCTTCCCTAATTACAGCATAGAGATCCCATGGGGAAGTTGTATTCTTATACAGTTGCTGACTTGGATTCAACACAATAGCACACCATGGCTCATGCCAGTGAGTGTCTGTTCATGCGCCTGTTAGCTATTTGAGTATTCTCTGTTGAGAAATGTCTATTCAAGTCCTCTGCCCATCTTTTAATTGGGTTCTGATTTCTTTTTATGCCCTGAAAGGAATGAAGACAAAATTTTCTGGAAATCTGTTTCCCTCACTGTCTTGTCATCTACAGCTTGGTAACAGTTTAAATAAATTTGGCAATCTCTCTATAACCTTGTGTACTTAACCCTAAACGTAAGGTGTTCAGTTTTATGAATACATATACATTTCCTTTATATTTCCATAATTCAAAAAACTGTCTTAAAACAATTCCTGGTATGAAAAATCTTTTTATACCTTTTGGTACCAAAAGGAACAAAATTTGCATTAAAATAACTAGAACCATTTGAAGAAGCCAAAGTTAGGAGCTTTTTCTGTTCTCCCTACACTTAAGAGAAAGATTAGAAAGGATCTCCAGTAAAACGTGTATTCAAGATTTTCTATTATTTGAAATGACATTTTGAGAAAAAACCCTTTTATTTGCTTAAAACAACAGCAAAAATTATGTATTATATAGTAATATAATCACACCATGATATGTTATACAATGTTGCCTGCCAAAACCAATTTTATATTTGTTTGAACACACCTAAAAGTAGTTAAAACAGTCTTTTTCTCTTGGGAAGAAGTTGGGATTCACCACATTGTTTATGTTTTCTTCTTTTTCCTCTTCTTTTCCACCATTGTTGTCATTTTCCTCTTCTTGGGTGACACTAGGCGATCTTCTTTCTTGAGTTTATCACTGTCTTCAGTTAAACTGCATTTCTTTGGCTTAGGTTTTGATTGCCTTTTTTCTTCCTGCACTATGTCACCTGACTCCTTCTGGTTGACTTTGGGAAGTTCTTCTTTACTGACTGAAACACAAGAGGCAGTGGATTTAGAGACTGCTTTTCCCCTTTCAGTAGGATGAACACAAGCTGACACTAAAGGGAAGTTATATAAATCTCCACTTCAACTTCCAATTCAGAGGTTTAAAGATTACTCAAATTTGAAAAACGGACGAGTTTACTTATTTACCAGAAGGCTTGGTAGCTGGAGAAAAGTTTTCCTTGGTTCCTGCTGTTCTGTCCAACCACACTCCCAGACAGGTCAGCCTGGCCTTAGTGTTGACTTCACAGAGTAGAGATGGGGGCAGTTTCTAAAACAAAGAATACAAATTCGTAACGAATACTTAATGTGAAAGAATTTTATACAATTACTTTATAGGAGCTATGTGAATATTAGATATAATTAAACCTATCTATAAATTTAAATGTATAAATTAAATAAATACATGTTTAAAAATGTATCCTGCTTCCAGAAATATTTTTTAAATGTTTATAAATTGGTGTAAAAAGAAAACCTCTTTATAATTCCTTCCTTTCTATCCTTTGAATTATGGGATTTACATAAACAAAGTACAACTTTAAGACATGCAAATAAAACTGAAACTCATCATTAATGGCTAATGATTCAATAATTCATCAATAAACTGGCTAATAATGCATGCCATATGAAAATAACAAATTTTAGCTGTCTATAGAAATTTTGTTTCAATTTTTCAGGATGAGACTCAGCATATAAATTACTAGAGCAACCCTGACAGTCCCCTGCCTCCAGCAATGAAATAGGCTACATGCAGCATAGTGGTTAAGAATCGGGCTGCTACCCTCAAGGTCGGCAGTTCGAAACTACCAGCTGTTCCCGTCAAGATTTGCAGCCTCGGAAACCCTGTGCAGGGTCACTATGAGTCAGAATTGACTCCACAGTACTTAACAACAACAAGCATGTAACCAGGGAGCGCTGGAGGCTCACTTACTAGAAGCAACACTAATGGTGAGGTTGCACTAAACTGTATTTACACTGCGGAAATACCCACCTTGTCTTGGTAAAGTTTCCACATTTTGAGGAACCCATCACTTGAGGCTGTAACAATAACATGATGCTCTGGAATTTCAAAATTGAGTATGTCTTTCACCCTAGGATAAAAGCACTGACATCAAGGCCCTTTCTTCCAAGCACAATAACATATAAAATTTCTACGTACACAGTTCCTTGCTTTTTCAGTATTTCAAGTGTTTCCAAAATATGCTTAATGAACAGTACATGAGTAGGTTCCTGTTTCACATTTCCATTATAGGTGATTAAGCATCTTTGTTGCCTGCTTTAATAGGTGATAAAAATGTATCTTCACTATTCATCAGTCAGCTTGTTGTACTGTGGTGGTTTGGGGGTTGCTGCAATGCTGGAAACTATGTCATCCGAATTTTAAATACCAGCAGGGTCACCCACAGTGGCCAGGTTTCAGCGAAGCTTTCTGACTAAGACAGACTACAACAAAGAACAAGCAGAGCACTTCTGACTGGTTAGCGATTAAGACCCTATAAACAGCAGCAGCAGACTGTCTGATACAGTGCCAGAAGTTATAAGGCACTCAGGTTGGAAGGCACTCAAAATACAATTGGGAAAGAGCTGCCCCCACAAAACACAGGTGAACTTAAATGATGTGAATGGAGTAAAGCTTTTAGGACCTTCATTTGTTGCTAGGGCTCAAGTCAAAATGAGAAGAAATAGCTGCAAACATCCTTTAATAATCAGAACGTGTAAAGTATGAATTTAGGAAAATTAGAAGTCATCAAAAATGAAATGGAACACATAAAGATCAAAACCCTAAGCATTAGTGAGCTGAAATGGACTGGTATTAGCCATTTTGAATCAGACAGACATATAAATGGCTTACTGTGCTAGGAACAACTAACTGAAGAGAAATGGCATTTTACTCATTGTCAAAAGAGTGTCTCAAAATCTACCTTGGGAGTACAGTGCTATGGATAATATCCATACAGCTATAAGGAAGAACAGTTAATACCACTATTATTCAAATTTGTGCACCAACCAGTAAAGGCAGTGATGGTGAAATTGAAGAATTCTACCAACTTCTTCAGTCTGAAATTCCTCAAATATGCAGCCAAGATGTACTGATAATTACTGGTGATTAGAATGCGAAAGTTGGAAACAAAGAGAAAGGATCAGTGTTGGAAAATATGGCCTCGGTGACAAAAATGATGTTGGAGGTCACAGGATGCAAATTTGCAAGACCGATGACTTAATCACTGCAGATACCTTTTCTCAACACCATAAATGGCAATTATGCACATGGACCTCACTAGATGGATTAAATAGGAATCAAATTGACTATATATGTGGGGAGAAAAAAAGACAACAGAGAAGGTCAATATCACCAGGCAAAACAAGGCCAGGAGTAGACTGTCAAACAGGCCATCAATTGCTCAAATGCAAGTCCAAGTTAAAGTTGAAGAAAATGAGAACAAGTCCAGGAGAGTCAAAATACGACCCTGAATATATCTCACACAAATTTAGAGATATCTTGAAATGTGCAAAGACCTGGAGTTAGAAAACCAAAAGGGAAGAAGATGCTCAGCATTTCTCAAGCTGAAAAAATAGAAATAAAATTCAGCCTCAATTTGAAATACTGAAAGATTCTATGGGCAAAATATTCAATGATACAGAAAGCATCTAAAAAAGATAGAATACAAGTTCAACCACATTCAATACACTCCCATGAACCTGGGTGGAGACCTGGTTGGCCAGCAGTTTGGCAAGACCTGGGGACTCCTGGTCACAGAGTCAGTGACATAGTCATAGAAGACTAGAGTGGAGACTGAAGCGTCCAGCTGATGAGAGGGCATATGCACAAGAACACCCACACTTGCAGATAATACCCACTTGACCTGGCTTCATTGGCTGGAAGACCAGAACTCAACTAGAAGAAAGAAGAGAAAAAAAAAGTGTAATCTGATACAACTTGATGAACTTGACCTACACCTATAGGGAACAAATCTTTACAGCAAGGATCATTCTCACCCCCTCTATACACAGGGTAGACAGGGATGGGCAAGTTGGACATTGGCTACCCAAAATGGGGGGTCTACAAAGACAAGAAGTGACTGGCTTACAAGCTTTTAAGAGGGAGCCTAGATCCAGAGGGCGCAGAGAAAGGTAGACTCTCTACTGAATAGAATCCAATCTGTCCGGGCAGGGCTGATGAAAGGAAATGTGGATAGCATTCATGTGGTACAATAGTGAATAATTACTATCAGGACTAACTGTGAGGGTTGGAAATGTAAAGACAGACGTTTTGTAGCTAAAGGAGGGGAGTGGTTGACTTTCCAGTCCAGGAGCAGAGCAGAGGCTCCTGGGACCATCAAGGGAGAAGAACGGAGTGCAGAACTCTATCCAGAGAAAGTGACGCCAGAGATGGAGGCAGAGATGATGATGTGGAGAGAGGGAGCGACTGGGAACTCTAGACCCAGAGAGGAAGAGGGGCTGTGTGCTGATGACCAGGGGGCAGGCTTGCAGGGTGTACCCTTTGGTTGGTTGATGATGCATGGAGGAGATTGTAACCAAGTCAATTAAATGATATATGATAGGATGAATGTAAACAACAAAAAAAAGATAGAATACAATCACAGTACCAAAAAGAAATGTCCAACTATTTTATAAGGTAGCATGTGATCAAGAGCAAATAATACTGAATGAAGAAATCCAAGATTCACTGAAGGCAATGGCAAAAAGCATCAATGGAACACAAACGGAAATCTTCCAAAAAACTCATGTAGCACTGAGACAGCTACCTGGACAACTGATTGGAAGAAATTTGTATTTATGTACATTTCAAAGAAAGGTGATCCAAGTGAATGTGGAAATCACCGTATAGTATCTTTAATATCACGTGCAACAAAATTTTGTTGAAGATAATTAAAAAACGGTTACAGCAGTAAATCACAGGGAGCTGCCAAAAACTCATGCTGCATTCAGAAAAGGACATGCAACATGGGATATCACTGCTGATGTCAGATGGATCTTGGCTGAAAGCAGAAAACACAAAATGCTTACCTGTGGCTTTATTGACTATGCAAAGGCATTTGACTGTATGGGTCATAACCAACTATGGATAACATTTCAAAGAATGAGTATTCCAGAACACATAATTGTGTTCTTGAGGAACTTTGTACACACACCAAAAGGCAGTTGTTTGAACACAACAAAGGGAATACTCAAAGGTTTGAAACGAGTTAAGGTACTCTTCAGGGTTGCAGCCTTTCACCATATTTATTCTATCTGCATGCTTAGCAAATAATCAGAGAAACTGGATTATATGAAGAACATAGCACCAGGATTGGAAGAAAACTCATTAACAGCCTGAGACATACAGACGACACAGCTTTGGTAGTTGAGAGTGAAGAGGATTTGAAATACTAACTGATTAAGATCAAAGACTACAATCTTCAGCATGGCTTGCACCTTATTGTAAAGAAAATAAAAATCCTCACGACTGGACCAATATAAAACATCATGGTATGTGGGGAAAAGACTGAAGTTGTTCAACTTCAAGTTGGTTGGATCCATAATCAATGCTCACAAAAACAGCAGTCAAGAAATCATATTGCATTGGATAAATCTGCTGCAAAAGTCTTTAAAAGTGTTAAAGAGTAAAGATGTCAGTGTGAGGATTAAGGTAAACTTGACCCATGCTATGGTGTTCTCAATTACCTCACATGCATGTGAAAGTTGAACAATGAATACAGAAAACTGTAGAAGAATCGATGTGTTTGAATTGGGAGAATACTGAAAGCACCATAAACTGCCAGAACAATCAAATCTGTGTTAGAAGAAGCACAGTTAGAATGTTCCTTAGAAGCCAGGAAGGTGAGATTTCACCTCTCATACTTTGGAAATATGATGAGGAGGGACCAGTCCCTGGAGAAGGACATCATGTAAAATGGAGGGTCAGTGAAAAAGAGGAAATGCCCCAATGAGATGGGCTGACACAGAGTCAGCAACAATGAACCTCAACATAACAGGAGTTGTGAGGAGGGCACACGACCAGGCAGTGTTTTGTTCTGCTGTGTGTAGGGACGCAGTAAGTCAGAACTGACTCAATGATAGCTAACAACAAAAAATTCTATCAGCCTCATCTTAAGGAAAAGTCACAAAGATCACATGCACAAGAAAGTACACAGAGCAAGCCTGTCTGCACTGCTAACCTTTGGAAGGGCTGTTTACAAGGTTGACCCTTGACAGGCATGTGGAAATCTGAATTTCATGAAACCTCTCACCACTGTAACTGATAAAAAAGGGTCCCATGCATAATTTGACTATGTAAACAATACGGTTTTTACTGACATCTGCTTTCCTTCTGTAAGTTGCACCTAGCTTTGAAAAATAAGTATCCTGTATAAATGACTAATTTCACTTTTGTTTTACTAAGGCAAAGAACACATAATTTTCCTAGACTCAAGAAATCACATATATATGTAACTATCTCTTCAGTTATTCGCAAAAATACATAAAATGGTTTTTGACATCACTGCATATTAAAGTTGATTTCAACCACACACACATTGTTGCTATGTGCCGTCAGTGAATTCTGACCGATAACGAGCTGACAGGACAGGAGCAGAACAGCACTACTGAGTCCCCAAGGCTGTAACATCGTTACAGAAGCAGACCGTCTCATCTTTCTCCTGCAGAGCGCCTGCTGGGTTTGACCACTGACCTGACTAGCTAGCAGCCCAATAAATACTTATCCACCGCGCCACTAGACCTCCTTACACATACAGAAAGACTAGCAAAGATACCTGTTTTCATGAGCTTTAAAGTCACAGAGGCACACCAGTGAGTCACAGTCAAACAACCTTACAACTTCTTCATCTCCTGCCACTGCAAGGACAGACTCCTAGGGTAAGAAGAGGACATTCAGAACATCAGCAATACTCTGAGCAGCACCACAGACACCAAATCTCTGTCCTGATCTCTGATCACTTACAGACACAAATGTGACAGAAGAGACTCTCTTCTCATTTGTGATGGTGCCACTGACAGATGCCGTGTCCAGCTGGTAGACGTCTATTTTATTCATTGTGACAACTACGTATTTCTCTCCCTTTGGGGACCATTCAACTATGTGAGCATCTGTAAGGTGGAAATAAAAAAAAAATTATTTTTTTGGTTCCATAAGTGAAAAATTAAGTGATCACAGCAAGAAAAACAACAGCAAATACTTCTACTTCATACCCATTATTTTATCTAATCATCACAGCAAGTGTATGAGACACATCTCTCTCTTCCTCTCAGATAGAAGCACCATTATGCACAATCACACAAGAATGGGTGGGTATTCATATTCCACCAATTACATTTTAAAACAAAAATACTCACTTTGTTTTATATTTTTTATGAATGCTGACCTTCCATCCACAAGATTCCATGTTCTGCAAAACAGGCACGATCATTAATTAAATTTGTTAGTGTTGTTAAGTGCTGTTGAGTCACACTAACCCTGCAGAGGGTTTCCAAGGAGCAAGCGGTGGGTTTGAACCACCGACTATGTGGTTAATAGTCCAGCGCTTACTCTAGATAGTGACCATATAGGACAGACAAGAGTTGCCCCATAGTTCCTGAGGCTGTCAATCTTTATAGAAGCATATTGCCACATTCTCTTGTAGAGCAACTAGTGTGTTCAAGCCACCAACCTTTCGATTAATAGCCAAATGCTTAACCACCAAACCACCAGGGCTTTTAGTTTAAAGAGGATGTTGCGGAAGTGCCATCAAATCGGTTCTGACTCATAGTAACCCAGTATAGGGTTTGAGTTTGAACCACCAACCTAATGGTTTAAACCAACCCTGTGGAAACTAGAATGTAGAGAGCATGTCTAATGCAGGGAAGGTTGTTTGTATCTTACCACTAACAAAACAGTTTTCAAACTCTCCCCTGCACCATAATATCCTTAAATAGCTAACAGTTCTGAAACAGTACAGACACAGTATCTCACTGCTGTGGGAGGAGATCCCCTGGTGGAGGGTTATTTAACTTGCATGGTAAAGACTAAAATGTATTAGAGATGCTCTTGGGCATGACTTACCTTAACGTTTTATCTGTACCCACAGACAAGGCCAACTTGCCAGATGGATGAATAGAGAGGAAGGTCACATGTCCTCTACAAGAAAAGTTAACAGTTAGCTACCAACTTCACTAGGATATCAAGAAGGTTGAGGGGGAGAGACGGGCTTACCTGTGCGCTTTAATAGACTTTAGGCATTCCCATTTCTTTGCGTCCCAGACACAGATCACTCCATCTTCTGCTCCACTGATTAAGTGCCTGTTGCCATAGAATTTCAGACAAGTTATTGTGCCTGTGGAAAATTTAAGATGGGCAATTAATACTCAAAGAGAATGCAAACTCCATGTCTGGTTTGAATGTTATGATGTAGTAAGCAAAACACGCAATGTTTCAGTATTATTAAAATGTAACTTAATGTCTTAGCTGAAGAAATTAAGATGTCATATAAAAACATATAGTTTCAAGCCTACGCAAATATATTTTCAGCAGAAAGTTTCTTCAATTGTAGATAATTATGAGAACAATTTTATAAAATGCTGTATTCTTCAACTACACCCTATGGAATCTCCTTTCATCTTTTCAACCTCTTCACATCTCTACTCCCTCTGTCACATCTCTACTCCCTCTGTCTAAATGGAAACTAAATTTCCCCTACTGCTTTGGAAACTGGGAGAGGTGTTTTCTCCTCAAACACTAGAGGGGGTAGGGTAGCAGCCCAGCCAGCGTATTTCTAGCACCTCCCCCAACCACCCAAAGCAGATCCAAACCACCACACATTCACTGTTAAATGCAATCTCCTAACGTAAGCGCCTCTAGCTTGGGAGTGTGGCACAGGCCTGTGACCTGTTTCTGTAAATGATTTAAAAAATTTTTTTTTAATCTTAATTACTGCTCATATCTGCATCCTGGTCAATCTTTTATACTGCCATTTCTATTAAAAGAGTCAAAGCATCTTTGAGGAATAATTTCGCACCTGACAAAAGCACTAAAAACATGTGGGCTAGATTACCACCTGCTTCTCAAAGTGTGAAAGGCAGCAGTCCGTGCCTGCGTTTGCTGCTTTCTCTGGTCTCCTCGTTCTTACTCTGGAAATTCTGATTCTTCCCATTTCTGCTCATGATGATAATCCTACCTCATTAATTCCTCACCCAGGCAAACCCCTCTTAGGTAATTCCTTTTCTTCTTGCTGGACACCTGTGCTAAAGGGTTGGGACAGACCCGATTTGTTTTTATTTCTTCCAAAACTAAGGGAGAATAAAGCCTTCCTTAGATGAAGTAGAGTTGGGAGACCTAAGTGAAAACAAATATTGTTGAGGTCACACCAGGCCTAGCTTCTGTTAAGAACAAGATAGATGCCTCTCAAGGTAGCCTGACTGTCTAAGAGACAGATGTCACTCCAAATGTACTGCTAAAGACCAAAGCCTGGTGCGCTTGATGCTGCAGGAACCAACTTCCATGGATGCGTTTTCCCAAACTAGGTACGTGCCTATTCGACTCTGCAGTTTTGAGTCTTTTCCTTCTTCTCAAACACAAATTAAACCTCTCCTTCATCTTCCCCTGGAAAAATCCAGTGACAACAGCAAACAGTGTGTTCACCACTGAAAAAAATTAGCAGTTGTCTTTCTATGCCTTGATCTTGCCACAATTCTGGACAACTTCACCTTCAGTGTCGGTAACTCGACCAAGAGGGGAGCATCACTGCTCCTTGACCTCCTCAATGCTTCCTCTGCATTTAGTCCCCCCACACCTACAACCTGGACGCTGCCCCCAACTACAGCTGCTTCCTGTGAGAACACCTGGCAGTCTCCTGACCTATTCCCTCTGACCAGAACCTCCCACCTTTCTAGCTATCTTATGCCTTTCTTCACTCACACTCATCTGCCCTTTTATGTCACAGGCCTACAGATCCTTGACATCCCAGCTGCCAACCCTTTATCAAAACTCCCAATCCCACAATATCTAGAACAATCCAACCTAAAACAGCAAAACATACATTCTCAGGACAGACCACATGGAAGGCCATAAAGCAACACTGGATACATTTTAAAAGACTGCAATCATAGAAAGGATTTTCTCTGACCACAACTGAGGGAAGCTACAAATCAGTAACAGAAAAGCAAAACAAAATCGAACACAAACAAATACACAAACATGGAAATTAAACAGCACACTATTAAACTACTGTTATGGATTGAATTACACACCCTCAAAACATGTCAACTCGGCTGGGCCATGATTCTTGGCGCTATGTAGTTACCCTCCATGTGGCGATCTGATGTTGTCGTCCTACGAGCTAAAAATCCTACTGAGGTAGGATGTAATCTACAGGATCAGAGAGGGACTAACACCAAGAAGAGCTGGGAACAGAGAGCGTCCTCGCCCTGAGAGACTCCGAGACTCAGGAGAAGACTCATGACAAGGGCCTTCCCCAGAAAGAAAACCTTCCTTGGAGCTGTTGCCCAGAATTCGGACAAGAAGGCTCCCACGCCGTGAGAAAAGACATTTCTGTCTGTTAAGCCATCCAGTTGTATTTCTATTAAAGCAAAACTAAGAACCCAGAAATAAATCAACATATGTACTGGCAACAGATATTGACAAGGGCACTAAGCCCATTTAATGGGAAGAATCTCTTAAAGAAATGGTGCTGGGAAAATTGTGTGATGCTGTGAATTAATGTGCTTCACTGTAAAGCTGCTGTGAACTGCAAGGTCAGCAGTTCACGCTCACTAAGAAACCCTATATAGGTTGCTATGGATCAGAACCAACTCAACAGCACTTAACAACAATGGCAACAAACATGAAGGAACAGGAGCCCTGGTAGTGTAGGGGATTATGAGTTGCGTTGCTAACCACAAGGTCAGCAGGTCAAATCTACCAGCCATTCCATGGGATAAAGACAAAGCTTTCTGCTCCTGTAAAGTTTTACATCCTTGGAAAGTCTATATGGGTTGCTATGAGTTGAGACTGAGTCTACAGCACGGAACCACCCTGGGAAAATGAAACACTATCCATGCCTTATACCATAAACAAAAAAAATTCAAAATGGACTAAGAACCTAACTGAACTAAAACCATAAAATATTTAGAAGAAAAAGCATAGGCAATACTGTCAGGAGTACCTTTCAACACAGATCATATCATAATAAAACACAAACAGCAAAAGACAAAATTAATGAGACCTCACGAAAAAATTTCAACTTTATCCATCAAAAAAAACATCACCAAGAGAACAAACAAAATGGCAGATCAGTGGAAGTGCAGTGAGGAGCTCCATCAGCAATAACACAGAATGCCGGACCAAACAGGCTCATGGGATGGTGCCAGAACTCTGAATCACATGTAAAGGAATATTTAGAAGGTGGAAGGCTTACAGCTAGGGGAACTGCAAAAGCAAGAAATCCAATGCTTTCTAATTCAAGATGCTCAGCTGCTCCCAGAGCCACCATCTTGGGAGAGACCAAGAGAGGAACGGATCAGAGCAGCCACAGACGCCTGACAGAACCACAGAGATAAATGGGTGGACACTTTTTATTTTTTTCTATCTATTGATTGGTCTCTGTCTGTGCACCTCCATTCAGGTGACTAGAGGGAGCAAGTGGAAACCCCACCAACAGAGGGTTCTACTACGCATGCGCACAGATCACCTAGAAATTTAACGTCACAGTTTCCACTTAAAACCAAACCGTAGAATGGCCACAGACGGCCCAGAACTGTTTATCACCAGGAAAAAGGCCTGATCAGGGATTGTGGAGCAGGACAGGCAGACTAAAAAGGAAATAGGCTAAAAATTAAATCTTGAGTTACATCAAAACGACCAACAGTGGCATCTTGAAATTTCTCAGGAAAAAGAGGGAAAGGGGAAGCCTATCTCCTGATCACATCTACCTGAAGGCAATCAGAAAGCATAAAAAATATCAAAATACACACTCATCTAAGTATTAAGGCCACAGATAAC